GTCTACTGGACATTGTGGTGCAAACTATTGTGCGACCCATTTCCTTTCGGGCCCCGTGCCCTTTGGGAAAAACACAAGACACCATGAAATGCCGATGACCTTTGAGTCTCGGCTTAGGGGTCAAAGACTCTAGGACCTTGCACTGAGTCCCGAGCATGGCTGGCAAAGACCATCAGCCTGGTTCCGTGGCTTCTTAATCGAAAAGTTCTGACATTCTCTGGGACAGCTCAGCATCAACTAAATCTATATATTTTTCTGAAGTAGGTGTGGATTTCGTTTCTTTTTTCTCGTATGATGCTAGGCATGGAAAAGAGGTTAAAGGAGAGGAACGCAAGGGGAATCGTTTGATCACCGCACCGTGTTTTTCGGTATGCCCGTTCCGGCTTTAACCGGGTGCCCTTTGTTGAGCTTGGTTCTGAGTGGAGGGGCGACATGGAGGTTTCTCCCACCGAGTTAAGTGGGTAAGGACAATGACGGGGAAAGTCTCCGAAGCATGAGCAACGCATGGCTGAGGTGGGGCCGTTGCGGCCCCCTGCCGCTTTGTGTTCCATTGGTTGTAAAACTGTGCCTAGCCTAGGGGTTCTCGTGCCCTGACTTCTCTGAATTAGGGATGTCGCCAGTACCTGAAAGGAGCTCTTTGGGGGGTACAGCCTCACGGCTACGACCAGTTTGGGATCCTTCGAGAGCCGAGGCAGGACCTCGGCAGGGAGTCACGCGGCACCGCGTACGCCGCAAAGGCTTCGTCCTGCACGACCTGCCAAAAGCACCAGGTGCTCAACCCTACACTGCAGACTTGCGGAGATGCTTGGGCAACTGCATCTGCAGGGGACCACAGGGTTGTGAAGGTGAGACAGCAGCCAAGCCCGGCCATCCACACCAGTAGCCCCGTGCTGACGCCCCTCACAGCCAGAGAGAAGGCTAAAGCAAGGAACCCTGCAACAAGAACATGGGGTCGGAATAACGATGCTAACAGTATTCCCTTCTGGTCCCTATATACTTCCACCAGAATAACCCCCAAACCCCTATTCTGATTATTAAGCCCCCTATATGACCTTCTCACACCATCCCGGGCCTGTTGGAAGATCGCTTCGCGTGCGGGCAGCTTGCCGCTGAAGACCTTGGATGATCGCCTGCTCTCTCTCCTCCTTCATACAGTCACTAGAAAACGTCTGCTTATCCCTACGGGATTCTGTGTACTGTTGCTTCCTCTTCGCTTTCTTCTGCACTAGGGACCCCAAGGGGGGATTCCGGACTTGCTTGTCAAGCCGGGACTGTCTGCTTGGTTGGGCCCGTGTGTTGGGAAGGTGTCTAAGAGTCCGGGGTTCAGCTAACTGTACAGCCTGCATGTGTCTCCCTGTCACATATTTTGCTTTCAAATGAAAAAGAGAGAGAGAGAGAGAGAGATATATATATATATAGTATATTGTATATGTACCTATTTCTATGTGTGTGTGGTCACTTCGCTAAAGTATGGTCCCTTGTGAGGTCCTTATTACAAGGCGGCCCATAATTATAGAGAATACGTGTACAACAGTCGTACAACTTATGGAACAAATCGCGTTCAAGATCACTCCACGCGTGGCGTGTAGGTGGCAAAGCATATGTTGCGCGTGTGTGCGCTGAACGCATACTTGGGAAATGCATAGCCGTAGCCTTAGATGGTACACACCAACCACCAACAAAAAAAAAAACATGCAATGGGCACTGGACCACGACTACCACGACAACAAGCGAGCGGACTTTGGGACCATCGGACCATCAGATACTGCTACCTTGGGATGTTCCCCCCTTATACTAACAGTCCTGAATAGGGATCATAACCAGGGGCACTATAATCCCTGCTAGTATAAGGGGGAACAGCCCAAACGCTACCACATACTACGAGTAGTTACGAATACTACATCGGCTCGAGGCGCCGACTGCGCGAGCTGGAGCTCGCGACCACCCGGCTCCAGCTCCATAAACCTTGTCGCTTGGGGTTTAGGGTTTAGGGTTTAGGGTTTAGGGGTTAGGGTTTATGGGGCTGAGGCCTCATGTTCCGGCCTTTGGAGTTTTGTGCCTTCGTGGGCCTTCGTGGGCCTTCGTGGGCATTGGCCGAGTTGTTGTTTGGAGGTAGGCTCCGGGATTCAGGGTGCTGGCTCACTTCCGGAAGTGTTGACGTGCCAAGGATTGCCGAAGTTGCAGAAGGCGACACTAGATTAAGGGAAGGTTTTGGCTGCCAACAGCGAAACTCGAGAAAGCCAAGGCAGTTGCCGGTATAAACCTGGCTTGCAGAAGTATCGAAGCTGGCATTGCGCTAGCGGGCAGCTCCAGCAGGCGACTGTATCCAAGGGGTGCTGCCACCAGAAGAGCCCTTGATACTCCAAAAGAAGACGCTCTTCCAAAACACAAATAACGGGGAGTCACATGGAATAGTTCACTCCCCCTGTCAGAGCTGACTTACGTGACTTAATTATAGCGACAGCAAAGAAACTCCACGCGCGTCTCTGCAGAGAGGCAGGTCGGTGCACGAAACCTCCGAAAAGGCAAGGGGTATTAGAAAGTGTTCAGTCTGTGGGGTGTGGTCGTAACTTTTGCGGCTCTTTTAACTACATATCCACCGGGGGCCACACTTCAATAAGAAGTCTACTTGGTCACCCCCCCCCCCCATGATCCATGTGTCCTTTTCCTGCTTGCCGTTCTGCACCTGTGCTTACTTACACCTGTAGTTGAAGTGCAAAAAAACACCGGTGTTTGCGATACTTTCTGGTCTTGCCATGTCTGAAGCTACAACTTGTTACTCATTACGTATAGTTTTAAACAGGGAGGCTACTGGTACGTCTCCTGCATGCCGTTCTGCTCTCGCCATAAAATGCCACCGGAGCACAGAGAGGATGATAGACCGTACGATCAGTGTACGATCCCTACAGCGTCATCTGCCAAGTCGCTCCGTGCAGCTTCCATACGTGAGGGTGTCAGCCACAAGGGCACCGTCAGACGCAGGGCCTCGATGAGATTTGCCCTCTTGCAACACACGAAGCCGCCTTTCTAGGACTATATATGTGCTAGTGCGCATGTGGAAGAATGCGGGCTGCGGCTCCTCGCACTTCTCGAGTCAACACCACTTCATGCGATCACATGCGAGAGCTAGCAGCTAACATGCTCAGGCAGCGCTTGGACTTTTTAAGGGGCAAAGAAGGCTGTGTCAGCCCGTTCCAAAAGGCTTTGCAAAACCCCTCGAAGGGAGACGAAAGCTCCCAAAGACCCATACCAGGCCTCCTAAACCCTAAACCCTAAACCCTAATCCTGGAAGCAGCAGCATAATACCAAGGGGGCCTTCATAGAACCGCGCCCGAAGCGCGCTGGGCTGGCCGTTGCAGAGGCGCAGCGTGTGCCCGCAATCCTCGCCGAGAGCTAAGACATGCCTTGGGCATCCCTGGGACCCTCTTTACTTAGGGTTTAGGGTTTAGGGTTTAGGGTTTAGGGTTTAGGGTTTAGGGTTTAGGGTTTAGGGTTTAGGGTTTAGGGCTTAGGGTTTAGGGTGTAGGGTTCAGGGTTTAGGGTTTAGGGTTTAGGGTTTAGGGTCTAGGGTTTAGGGTCTAGAGTTTAGGGTTCTACCTACTAATTAATGGTAGTCTCTGCTAAACTGTGTCCCAGGTCATGCCTCTCGCCCTCAGTGCTGAGGCCGCGCTGTAGATGCGAGACCGAGAGTCTGGTGGTTGTACTCGACTCCTTTAAGCCTTTTTTGCGCATCTGACAAGGAAGCATCCCCATGCTGAAAGGCGCGCTTTGTCTGCTGATCGGTGTGGACTTGTCGAGCCTTGTTGACCACGCTCGCGGGCGTTCTTGTACTTAGGACTTGCACTCTACAGCCTGCAGCTGCAGAGATCCAGCAACATGACATTGAAACGGGGGAGAGAAGAAAAACAGGACGGAAGTGCTCTTTCGAGTTGTTTTAGGCGATATGCCCCAGGACTGAGCCAGCTTCACTTGTTCCGCTTCATGTTCCGTTGAAGTCATGCGAAGCATCAAGTTCACAATCCGCACGTAGGTGAAAACTGCCCAGGGCCAATGAGGAACCCCAGACCCCCTCGTGCACTCTGCAACTACAGAGGGACATGCCCTGCAGAATGCCCACGCCAAAGATGTTCTCGGGCCTACTGCATCTGCCCAGGCAAGCCTAAAATCCCATATCATGAGCCCTGGCGGTGGCCTCAGCAGGGAAGGATGCGAGCTGCGCTCCCAGCAGCAGCCATCGAGACATCTGGTCATCTGGCAAGCCTCCCTATCAGTAAGCATCTATCTCGGTTGTATGTCACGTCGTCATGAAGCACAAAACACAGTCAGGGAACAGGCAGCCACTGACGCAGCTTGAGCGTAGCTGCAGCACCAGTTTCGAACATTTGCTTATGTGCTAGCTGCCGGGCTGCCAGCTGGTTGGCCAACCTGCTGAAAGCCCTCTATCATCCTCTATCCAGACGAGTGTATGTGAGTTCTTGCTTCCTTCGAATCTTGAGCAGCACGGCTGCGCCGCGGCTGTACATCCTGTGCCCCAGCTTAACCCATTGGCTGCCTGAGCAAGCCCGACCCCCATGCTGATGCGACATAAACCTTCCTGTGCTGACTACAGTCGGTGAGCCCTTTGGGTATGTTTGGGTCCACTTGCACAGATATTCATGTGTGACTCAAATTCTGCCTCAGGTCCGCGTGACTCGTTCCTCTCAGCTCTCTTCCCCCCAGATACGACGCCCCTTTTGCATCCAGAAAACCCATTTTGCATCTAGGACTCTGCAACGCCCAAACCCCTTCCCCTAGCTCCGTAACACCTCTGCCTCTTCAAAACATTGCTTGCAGTTGCGAGGTTGATCATTGGCGCCGAGGTTGTTTGGGAATGTTGGGCCGAAGGACCAGCTGTGTGAGTAGAGGGCATGTACTAGATGTTTACTATCTATCTATCGCACAGTAGCAAAGGCTTGTGTCAGCACTGGCCAGCCTAAAAAGCCCAGAGCATGCCAAGCTGCCGCTGGAACTCGAACTGCTGCTGCTGCTGTCGCTCTCCAAGACCTCTTTCTAACTCGGAACCCTAAACCCTAAACCCTGAACCCTAAACCCCCGCACCCTTTGCCTGACCTGCGACATCAAGTTCTTGCGAAAACGCAGCCCTGAAGCGTAAGCCAGGTTGCAGTCTTCTCAAGTACAAGTCTAACTTGTCTGACATGGGGAGCCGCTGAGCATTGGCAAAAAAAAGCCCGAGATTGCCCAAACTTTGCCTACATCCTGTTGCTTGAAGCCCGTCTGGGCCCCCTCACACATGGCCTCTGGGAAAGAAACCACCAAGAAAGACTCAGAAACCATCATCCGGCCTGCGCCGTCCCACGATGCACTGCATCATGGCTGCGGCCGATGATGCCTAAGCTGCGCTCAGGCAAGAAGAGACCCCCAACTGGGAGCTTACGAAAAAAAGTGTCTAATATAGACCCCCAAATAGTAGGATTCCCTGATGATCAGGACCTGAATAAGGGTCCCCTATTTTCGGAAACCCCCAAGTCCTCCCCTAAGGCCGCGGCGAGGGCTCGGACTGACTGCCGGGCTGCGCCTCAGAGGGGCTTGGGGGTTAAGATTCCGAAAGGAGGGCTACCCTTTTGGGGGGGGGTCCCTGTTTGGGGGGATGCTACTAATTACGTTTCGGGTACAGTAGGGGCACCCCTGTTTTGGGATGTTTGGGAAAGGCAGATTTGTGGAGGCGGGGGAGGGGGGGGGTTCTGCTTGTGGTTGAAAGGTTTTATCCTCAGCTAATCTGGCTGCTAACCATTACGTCATGCAAACACCACAATACCATAAACAACCGACCCGACAGCAAGCCAAAAACCCACAACGACCCAAACAATCAGAACCCCAAACAGATTCTCCATCAGCGCAGAACATCCACCTGGGTGCCGTACTGCAGGGGAAGATTTGCACGCTTGGCCTTCTCAAGTATCGGTTCAACATGTGAAGTAATGGACACCTTTCCTTTCCTTTCCACAAGCACAGATGGTCTCAGGGAGACGGCGCCTTGCACCTCATTAAGCTGCTTGTATCGTTGCGACCGGGCGTGTTTAACTCTTGAAGATTCAGCACCCTTCAACAGCCCAGTCGGCCGTCTATAGACCGACTAGTACTAGTACTCTGTAGTACAGAGACCGGTCTAAGCCGCAGCCATTCATCCAGCAATGCGCAAGAGTCAGCACATGAGAGCCAAGAGAACCGAACTGCACTGGAGGACTTTTACCGCCGCTTGGTCTTTCCTTGGAGCCACCGGCCGAAATCTTGCGTAAGGCTCCGGAAGCTCAAGGAGGACTTCCTCGGCAGCTGCGTTGCTGATCCTAGGTTCTCTATGCGGAATGGTTGCTGCCTCTGCCTTTTGCCTTCATCTTTCGATATCTAGCCTTGTATCAGACTGTACGATGTGCTCATGGGTCTCAGTTGAGTCACATTGACGCACCCACCTCCTCCGTAGCCCTGTAAACAAAAATAAGAACGTGAAAGGCAGGGCAAGGGGGTCGGCTTAAGTCCTTACAGGTTTATTCTTAGACCCCACTTTGCAGCTCAGCCAAAGAGCCCACTGCGCTGCCTCCAGCCGAAATGTTCCAGCCACTCCTGACTGTCGACGGCTGAGATGTGACATACTCGGGCCGCTCATGAATAAGGGCCCTCCTCCGAATATCGGAAAACATGCAAAAAAGTTTGAAGCCGCACGTCGCATCATTGCGGCCCAAGGAGTTGTCGGGGTTCCTTCATGTAGGACTCCAACCCTGAACCCTTAGCGTTCAAGCCTCAGCTGCAAACCTTACAAAGCGGTCCTGGAACGTGTTTCGGCGCGAAGGCACTTGGCCTCCCCATGACCGGCGAAGGAAGTTTGGGTTCCGGATGGTTTTGGGGGTGACATGTGTCAAGGGCCTACTTCCGCAAAAAGGCTTCGGGCTTCGGAAAAACAAAAAAAATATATATATATACATATATATATATATAGAGCCGGGCGCAGGATTTAAGACGTCCCTTGGTTTTAATCAAAAAAGAGAGGTTTCTGGTGTTTAAAGGCGATTTTTTTCCGGTATCGGGTGTTTACCATAAGATCAGATGGTTAGGCTGAAAGATGTACCCGCGCCCGGCATAGGTGTGTTTGGTAAGTCTTAAGTGCCTTGTCTTTGGTCAGTTGTTTGGATTTCAGGGGTTGGAGTTTCATTGGATTGAACTAGGCTTGCAAGTGTGAGGCTCCAGGCCAAGTGGTTCGACCATACTAAATAGATGATCAGCGTTGTAAGATGTCACACATCATCACCCTCAATAAAGCTGCTGTCGGTGAAATGAGCGAAGAACCCAGGGGCGTCTTAAATATTCGGCCATATTGAAGAGCTTAAGAAAAGGTAATTTGAGAGGTTTTAGTAATGAAAGCCGAATAAAAAGCAACAGCAAGGCTTTGTCGAAGCAGAATCTGTCTTGAGTCTGTAAGGACCCCAATTCAGACGGCAAATACAAGAAAATCTACACTTTGTAGACAATCACAGGGAAATAGGGGCGTCTTGAATCCCACGCCCGCCTATATATATATATATATATACACACATATTGTACCTGTATGCCTATCACCATAGAAGCACGTGGAATGCTAGCCAGTTGTCAGAAGCAACTGAGAGCTTTTCAGGGAATCTGAGCCAATCAAGACATTGAACAACTCACTACTGGTAAGTATTACAGGTACTGTGGCTCCTTCATGCACCTTACACCAGTATTTGGCACCACGCCCGATGCCTACTGCGTAGCCGCAGTAGCTGCCGAAAAGAGCTCCGACCAAGTGCGAAGCGTGCGAGATGCCATCCTCCAGCGGGCGGGATTGGGAAAGTTTGCTTGAAGGTTCATGCTACTTGTTAACCTTGAGTGCCCTAATATGGTTATAAGTATAGTTCTAAGTACAGTTAAAAGTTATAATTGAGTAGCCAGTACCTAAATTCTCCAAGTGGCTTTATGGCGTGGCAAGGGAGTGGGGTACGTGGACGGTTGCTTCTCGTATCCTCGGATCCTGATGCCCCTTTGACTCGGGGAGCTGAAGCCCGATCACAGCACGAGCCGAGTTCCACTCAGAAACCCTAAACCCGAAACCCTAAACCCTAACCCTTCAACCCTAAACCCCGCAAAGCCCTAGCAGCAAGTCCACCCTGAGCCGCAAGGAGCGTAACGAGCTGTCTTTCAAGCGCCCGAAAAAAGCGCCAAGCTTGCAAGCGAGGATCGGGTCTTCCGTGGAGCAGAGGGCCGATCTCACCGGCAAGCCTTCAGACTGACCGACGTGGGTATTTCCCGAAATCGGGGTACCCCTTGTTTATGCCCCAAGTGGAATAGCATCCACTTAAAAGGACCCTGAAAAGGGAACCCCTATGTTCGGAAACCCCCCAGGTGTTGAGGTGCAGCACAGAGGTGCTGCAACGCACAACTCGGCGGTCCTTTGCTGCGGGCTTGGCAGCACGAAACCTCCGAAACAAGAAACGGCTGGCCCAACTCGATCATCCCCTCCCAATCGAACAGGGCTTCCGATGCATCAGCGAGTGGCCACAACACCATGGTCAACACTGCCGTGGCGGGCAGCGCTTTGCAGCTGGCAAACCCGGCGAAACCTTAGACTTCACAAGTAGAGTATGTTGTGAGATTTTTCGGTTCTCATGTTGCTGTATGATTGCTCTCGTTTTCTAGTATTAAACTATTGCAATTACGCAAACATTCTGCAACTGTATTATCTTGCAAGTTCTACCCAGGCATTTCAGCAAGCCTGCATCCCGGCACTACCAGTACGACATTGTAGCACCGATGTACTTAAAGCTGTGTTCCGGTATCTTCGCCTTCCGCCACAACAATTCGTGATCGGAATTTTGCTGAAACATGACCTGCTCCGATGACCCTCCGAGGAAAACATATGAAAACCCATCTCAAAAGTAGGCCGAAGCGTGAGCCCCACAAAGTCGCCCGGGCCCCTAGCCTTTCAACACCTACATACTGCACACCTGCGCGCAGAAAGCAGCAGAAGGACGGATGTACCCCCGGCCCACAGCAGCCCTAGAATCTTGGGGTTTGGGGTTTAGGGTTTAGGTTCTGGACGAGCTGCCGTTCAGCATAATTAGGGCGAAGACGTTGCCGGAGAGGCCGAAGATCTGCGCGTTGCCCGGGCCCAGAATCCTCAACGAGGAAGATCTCCGTTGAGAACCGCGACCCGCTGTTCACCTACTACTTTGTGTTTTTTGGGGATGCCCACATGCTAGTTACGTCTCTTTCGCTCTTGACCTTCTGTTGTGGAGCTTGGAGTTGGAGAAGAAGGACCGCAGCTACAGCTGCAGCACTCGGTCCAACCCTCAAACCCGTAAACAAACCCTAAACTGAAGACCTTCAAACCCCCAAACTCTGCGCCCCTGAGCCCTCCATGGAACTCCCTCGAGAACCCCAAACCCTGAACCCCCCTAAACTTCCTAACCCTAAACCCTAAACTTCCTTACCCTAAACCCTAAACCCTAAACTCGGAAAAGAGCTCAGGTTCCAGTGGCTCGCGGCGACGGCCGCACTGCAGCAGGCGAGCACACGGAATCTTAGCTTCCAGGAGGCTTCTGCTTGGAAGGAGGGCCTTCTGGGTATTAGGGTATTAGGGTTAGGGCTTAGGTTTTTTTGCCCTTTGGGTTTATAGGGTTTAGGGCTTAGGGTTTAGGGTTTAGGGTTTAGGGTCTAGGGCTGAATTCAGGTCCCTGTTGTGGGACCCTTATGCGGGATCCGATGCTCCAGGGTATGGAACAGCACCCCCAGATGAATCCCAAATGAGGGTGTGTGTCTTCCCCTGCCCACCGCGGGGGAACCTCTTGTCTTTCAAGCAGCAACGCTGTGGAGCCATAGTGCCGCTCACCTGGACTCCAGAATCCCACACAGACCCATGGACTCCAGAATCCCACAACAGCAGCCCATGATGAACCCCGGGTGTCGTCATGGTGACTCCCGCAAGATAGGCGCAAAGGCAAGGCCAGTGGCAGGGCGGCCCCACCAGGCAAAGCAGCATCAGGTTGTGCTGAAGGTGATCCCAGCCTGCACTCCAACATGATCCCAGGCCGTAAGCTTCCAATGATCATAGAAGTGACTTTCAATTGAAACGATGAGTGTCATGACTTTGAATGGCAGCTCTCAATGAAAAAAAAGCCACGGGACCAAGGGAAGCCAAAAACTAACTTATCTGCCATCTATATGCTTTTCTGCTTTTCAGTCGGGATCAGCACCAGCCGAGCCACTCACCCAGCGAGCACTGACTGTTCTCGAAAGCAAAACACAACCAATCGCCAAGCCTCCATGGCCCAACGAGTGGCCAAACAGACGCCAGGCTGTAAGTGGACTGAGAAGTGGAGTCGCGCGCCAAGGCAACCTGATTGCAGGCTCTGCTGGATTCTCTCATGCCCTGCATAGTAAACGACACAAGATCTGCAAGCCGAGGGCAGTCAAAGTCGACAGTTCGGGCTTCCGTGAATTTGCGGTTGCAGCTGCAAACTTGGCCTGTAGAAGAACAGGTCTGGTGCTTCTATCTCCAGCCACCCCCAAACGAGAAGTCCTTCATGTGTTTTATCCAGGGCATCTTGAGGGGGCCACCCGTCAGGTCGGGGTCGGGGTCTGGGTCTTCAGGTAGTTCGTGCCGGCAAGATCCAGATTTCATGGGGCTTGCTTTGAGGGAACGGCCTCAGATTGGGAAGGTTGAGAACACTCGAGGTAATGCAGCCTTCTGCAACGCTTGCTTGCGGAGGGAGCCTTTGCCCGAAAAAGACTCTATAGAGTTAGGAGACAAAAAAGAAGAGGGGCACAGCACTGAAAGTCAAAAGCCTACAGAGTTCTTAGACTCTATAAACCCTACACCCTAACTTTATTGAACACTAGTGCGTGCCGGGGCGGCCAGGCGTAGTAGCGGCTCAAAGCCGA